TCGTTGAGGCAGTAATATAGTTTGGAGAGGACAGGACACCAAATCAGAAGCACATTTCTTCAAGACAACGGCTGGTATCCCGTCCCTACGACTGGCTTTATAGGACTCTAATTTAGAGACGATGCCCAATATCTTCGATGGGATTATGTGCATCTCACTCAATAGAGGCTCTGTTCTAGGGGGAAAAATCGGGTGTGGATACAGCGGATGAGTGGAGCATTGAATTGGATAAGAATTTCCGAGCAAAGGATTCAGCCTAATCAGATGAGGAAGTCAGAACCTCAAATTGATTGAATAAAGTAGATATTGTAGATTTGTTGTTGTTCAGTACGCTCTGACTCAGACGTCAATAATTTTTAGAACCGAACTTGTGAGATGAAATATGTTGTTTCATTCTGTCAGGAAATACGAACTTTACTTCAAACTTTTACGCTTACATTACGGGCAGAGATAAAGAGACGTCTGTTGCAAGCAAGAGTCAGCAGGTCAATAGTTATATAGTTTGGAGAGAATTAGAGCCAGGTCAGGAGCACGTTCCACGTGACATGTTTAATGGATGCCAGTTATCTCTTGCTAATTCCTCTCTGCAAGTTCTTCACTTGGGTATCTGTGGGTTCTGTCACTGGATCTAACTAACGCCTTTATCCACTGTCCCACGTAGAACTAGAACAGTCTACCCCAGTGAACGAAATAAAGGGTTCAGTTTGACATTCCAACCACCTGAAGAAGGCCGGAGCGTACAACGGCCGAAACGTTGTAATAAATATAGGGACAAAGATGAGGACAATAGTCCGAATAATGTAAATAGTGTACATAATACCTCATCTCAGAAATATAGACAGATACTTAATTAGATACCTCATTTCAGAAATATAGACAGATACTTAATTAGATACCTCATCTCAGAAATATAGAGAGATACTTAATTAGATACCTCATTTCAGAAATATAGACAGATACTTAATTAGATAACTCATTTCAGAAATATAGACAGATATTAATTAGATACCTCATTTCAGAAATATGGGCAGATACATAATTAAATACCTCATTTCAGAAATATAGACAGATACTTAATTAGATACCTTATCTCAGAAATATAGACAGATACTTAATTAGAGACCTCATTTCAGAAATATAGACAGATACTTAATTAGATAACTCATTTCAGAAATATAGACAGATACTTAATTAAATACTTCATCTCAGAAATATAGACAGATACTTAATTAGATACTTCATTTCAAAAATATAAACAGATACTTAATTAGATACCTCATTTCAGAAATATAGACAGATACTTAATTAGATATCTCATTTCAGAAATATAGACATATTTAATTAGATAGCTCATTTCAGAAATATAGACAGATACTTAATTAGATACCTCATTTCAGAAATATGGGCAGATACATAATTAGATACCTCATTTCAGAAATATAGACAGATACTTAATTAGATAGCTCCACGAATTGTGTATACGTAAGTTTTAAAATTAATTTAAAAAATGAAAAAGCTTTCCTGAAGCTTTCAATTTAGCTTTAAATGAAAGTTAATGGATTACATTTCCTGTACCCGGTAAGCAAAATGTTTTGGTGTATTTCAGACAAAAATTATATTGACTGGAATTGGCTTTCAGTAAAATCGATAACGTCAGCCAAATTTTAGACAACTGTAAAGAAAAGTTAATTTTCCGTTTTAAAAATCTTGCAAAAACAATATATATATTTCTGAAATGTTACTTGAGGAAAACTAGCAAATGTAATGCCGGGCTAATCTGATTTGAAACAAATATTACTCATAGCATAAAACGTTCTATACAAGCATTTCCTAATCACTGTTTTGTTTTTCTGACGTGATAATCGATTTATTGTCGGCGGATTTATTGTCGAATTTGTTCATTGTTAAATATGGTGTAGCAGACGATAAATTTCATTAGGGTTTTTGTTTTTTTTCCTTAAAACACGTGACCTTATAAGAATAGATTTATCAGTTTGTACATCCATGCTTCAGAAATTCTGAATCTATATACATATATAAAAGCAAATAGAAATTACTTTTTTTAAAAATATTCGGAGTTTATTTAAAACTTTAAAATATATTATTAATAAATATAGATTTACTTAATAACAATATTTCCTAAGAAATATCTCATCGAAATTGAATTTTAAAAAACTCAAAAACTTAATAAATTAATAAATTTTAGATTGTAAAATATTGTAAAAAATGAAAACAAATCTTGTATAAATTCATTTTTCATCAATTTTTTTCTTCAGACAATATTGCCTTTAATAGATATTATCCATAAAAGCAATAGAATTCATAAAATCTGCTCTAATTAAAGAATGCCTTAGTTTTATTTTGTTTTTTTTTTTTTAATTTTTTGGTTCAAAACGGAATTTCAGTAAGACCAGGTTCGATTTTGCAAAACAAAATCGGTTACTTAAATTCTTCTTCTTCAAAAAAAAAAATAATTCCGCTCTTGATATTTATAATAAACTAAAAATTGTCTCATTGAATTTCCCAAGCTTTCATAAAATGAAGTAAGGGGGAATGTAAAATAAAACAAATATTTTTAGCGAGATTTTCTAATAAAATAATTCTAAAATAGTTTCACTCGTTCGTGAATAAGTCCTGAAAATTCCATTAAAATCTGACAATTATTTGATTTTTGTAAGCATTTCAAAATTAATGTGTCTGTCACCGCAAAAAGGAGGCAAAAATTTGCTATACTATAAGTTAGCCCAACTACTGACGCAATAAAAAGTTTTTTAATGAAAATTTCGAATGTTCTAAAAAGCAAGAAATACTTTGATCCTTCCTCTTAATAATAGCATAAAGATTTTGACGATACATTTTTGTTTTCATTACGTTTGGAGAATGTTTTTTATCAAGGTAAGCTATTTTTTAGGAAATCTCGAGGTGGTAACTAGATTTAATTGACCTTTAAACCTAACGTTTGGAAAATGTTTTTGTTTTCGTATAGAAATAGCGATCGTGTCAGAATAAATTTCACTATATTTACAGAAAGGTCGTTGTAATTCATGTTTATTTTGACAGTAAGTATATATATATATATATATATATATATATATATATATATATATATATATATATATATATATAGCATGATGAGAAGCCACGTATACTTTCTTAATATTTATATATAGAAAAAGTTTCAAATTAAAAAATAATAATGTTTTATTTTATGAAAGTATTTATTTATATATATATTTGATATTTCAAATTGTCCTCAATTTTTCATCAGAATTAACTGTTTGTTACAAATAAATTAAAATTACTGTTTGTTAGCAAGTAGCGTCCTTCGCGAGACGCGGACGTCACGTGATATGGAACGTCACTGTTCGGATATTTCTAACTTAAATCTAACTGTCATAAATATTTTAAATGTTGTTTAAAAATTTTTTTTACTATATCTAAAAAAAATTGCTTAACTATTGAAATATTTATAAAGATTTAAAACACCTAAGTCCCTATTCAACCCTAGTTTATGTGTATTTAATTTTAAAATCCAATATGTTTCTTTTTTTATGCGTGTGAATGTAGTGTTTTTATGCGTGTGATTGTAGTGTTTAGCTATGGGGGAATAAGGGTTGTTTTGACGTATTGTTTGTTTATGGTTATTGAAACGAAATCTAAAATTATTTCCAGACTCACCAATATATCCACTATTAGGACATAAGTTGCAGAATAAATAATAGATTACGTATCGCAGGTGAGGTTAGGTGGCTGTATCCTGATATTGGTGTTGGGTACAGAAAATATATTAGCTATTATTAAATGTTTGCAAACTAAGCAACGAGGTTTGTTACACGAAGATCTCATTATGTTCACTACACCAATACTACCTCTGTTGACAACCACATCGCTAACCTATCTAAATACACTCTCACCCAAGGAGAAACCTCTTTATTAAATAAAGGATTATCATTCTGCCCCTCACAACCACTAAATCCTCTAAACCTTTGCTACGATATGGAAAAATACCTTCGTAGATTGAGACTAAAAGAATATTTCTCAGACAACAAACCTACTTCTAATACAGACAACAGCGCCAACCAATCATGCGCCAAACTTCCTCCGACGAAGAATAACAATATATGGACCCCACCAAGCGGACGTAACCAACACTTCGATCAATATGCCCACAAAGCCAGACAACACATAGATAACTTCTTAAAAAACAAAGGACACCAGATAAAAAAATACAACTTATCCAAAATAGAACACCAAGCCATCTATACTCTTAAAAACAACCGAGACATAATTATCGTACCAGCCGACAAGAGCGGAGCTATAACCATCTTAGACACTAACCACTACATTAAAGAAGCAGAATCACAACTTCAAAATAACAGATTCTATGTACCCTTACCTCTAGACCCAACTAGGACATTCAAAACAGAATTATCACTTCTCACTCAGAACCTGAACTACAACATAAAAAATACCATAAAATCTCTTATTCCTGAGAACCCTAAAACAGCAACATTCTACACTATCCCCAAACTACATAAACTCCCCAAAATCCTTTCAGAAAAACACCCTAACACTTTTTCATCCGACCCACATAAAATTACACAATCAAATAATGAAGAGAACATCTATGAAATTTCAAAAACCCTTAACATCATGCCACCTGGTAGACCCATAATATCAGGCATTGGCACCCTCACAGAACTTATATCTGGGTACATAGACAATATCCTAAAACCTTTATTGCCTGACATACCTAGTTATATTAGAGACACTACTGACTTTCTCAGCAAATTACAAAACATTAACTTAGTCCACCATGATACAATCCTAGTAACGATGGATGTTTCGTCCCTTTACACGAACATTCCATATGTTGAAGGAGTATCAGCTTGCTATGAGTTCCTTAGTAACAAAAAATTACCTAACTACCAAATTACAGATATATGCCAATTAATAAATTTCATCTTAACACATAATAATTTTAAATTCAACAACAAACACTATTTACAGATTAGTGGCACATAGATAGAGAGAGAGAGAGAGAGAGAGAGAGAGGTAGAAATAATAATGAAGTGAATAAAAGAGAAAGAAAGAGGGAAAGGGCGTGTATCAATAAAGGAGAGAGAGAAGGGGACAAAAGAAAAACAGTGAGTCAAAAATAAAAAGGGGGTGAAAGGAAAAAGAAAATGTCTATCGATAGAGAGAGAGAAACAGAGTGAAATGGAAGGGGAGGGGGATGGAAATAGAACCGTGTGTTATATATATATATATATATATATATATATATATATATATAGAGAGAGAGAGAGAGAGAGAGAGAGTGAGATGGGGGGAGAAAAAGGAGGAAGGCAGAAGCAATTATGAACAGTGTGAAACGTAGAAAGAAGGAGAGAAGAAGAAAGACGAAGTGTATCGATAACGGAGAAGAAGAAAGAAAGAAAGAAAGAGATAATCAGAGAAATAGTGAGAAAGGGGGCAGAAAGAGGAAGACTTGTATCGATATAGCGGAAGACGTAGTGAGAAAGACATTGGAGGTAGAGGTTTACGTTTGGAGGCCATTTTGTGTGTATAGACAATGAAATACTGAAAGAAAGGAGGAGGAAGTGCGAGGGAGATCAAACAGAGGGAGTGATGGCAGAAAAAGAGAAAGAAAAAAGTGAGATGGAAAGAGATTGAAAGAAAATAAATTAGAGGGGGCGAGGTTATAAAAAAAACAAAAGAAGGAAGAGGAAAAGAAAAAAATGTAGAAGTGATAAAGAGGTAAAAAGAATGATAAGGCAGGTAGATAAACAAAGAAAGAAATGAGGAAAGAGAGGGGAGAAGAGAGATGATACATATAAGCAGAGAGCAATGGAAAAGAAAAAGGATTGAAAGAGTGAGAGAGAAAGAGAGATGAAAGGAAAAGAAAAAGGGAGCCGAAAAAAAAACAGTAGTCGGCTGCCAATGAGAGTGTAACAGAAAGAGAGAGAGAGAGAGAGAGAGAGAGAGAGAGAGGTGGGGGCGAAAAGAGAGGTAGTGAATAAGAGAGAAGTACAGACATACCCGCTAGAAAAGAAAGATAGACGAAAAGAAAGAAAATGAGAATTAGAGAGCGGAAAGAGGGGTTGATATAAAGATACTAAGATCTCTCAAAGAGAGTAAGAAAAAAGAAATAGGAAGAAAAAGCGAAAGACAGTAACGTATAAACAAAGAGTGAAAGAAGGCTAGAAAGAAAGAAAAGCCCCCAAAACTTAGGAGATAGAGAGAAAGAGCGAATGAAGAAGTGTGAAAGAAAACAGTTAGGGGGGAGGAGAAAAATACAAATAGAAAACAAATAATTAAGTGATAAGGGCAGTTAGAGTGAAGGTAGGGAAGGGAACAATGAAAGAAGTAGAATGAGAAAGAAAAAAATGACAGAAAATAAGCGCGGGAAAAGAGAGAGAGAGAAAGAGAGAGAGAGAGGAAATTTGGGATAAATCTAGACAGAATCAAAGTTCGGAGAACTGATTTGGAATTCGCCATTGCTGGAAGGGCAATGGAATTCTTTCTTCTGATAATAATAATTTGGAATGTGGCAGTTCTCGAAGGGAGTTTCTTTATTGTCGCCATTTTCCTTCTATCGCTCTCTTGCAGACGCTGAAGAGTCTTCATCACACTCAGAAGACATCCTGTCACTAATGGAAAAAAAAAGTCACGCACGTTATTAAAACTCATGCCGAGAGGCGAAATCATTTTCAATTAAGACTAGTATAAAACCCACCAATAAAGACTAGATTATTTCCGAATGGATCGATCGAGACATCTGCCACGGATCGGACCAATTATAGTCCCTTCCTTGCATTGATTCCTGATCCACAGTCTAAGATCAGTGTAATATCTGTGCACTCTGGGGAAAAATGTTATATACAGTCACTTCCTCTTTCTTTCTCTCTCTCTCTCTCTCTCTCTCTCTCTCTCTCTCTATATATATATATATATATATATATATATATATATATATATGTATAAGTGAACATGGAAGTGAACACTTAGAGGCGACAGACGCAATCGTTAGGCCACGAGTGGAAAAACAGATTGTCGCCTCTATGTGTTGACATCAACGTTCACTTTTATATTTACACACGCTATATCTCTGATATTGAGCAATTTTATCCCATAAAATATAGCACACCTTAAAACTATATTTCTTCATATATATATATATATATATATATATATATATATATATATATATATATATATATATATAGCACATTTCATTGAATACGACAGACAAGGTGCTTTTATTTAGTTCTTTATACAGTTTCTCATGCGATCTAATTTTTTTTCTTTTCATGTGATAAATTATATAAAAACTGTCTAAAATGTATAGCCGAAAGCGCTCGGATAAAAAGAAGGATTGCTGCCTACACACACACACACACACACACACACACACACACACACACACACATATATATATATATATATATATATATATATATATATATATATATATTCTTTCTACGTGTCATGTCTTTTCAGGACGTAGACGATCATGGCTCTCCACCTCCCTCTATCCCTTGCAGTTCTCAACAAGTTCCTTCCCTGCACCACCTCCAGAAGACCAAGTTCTGTCATTCACTTGCTGCTAGGTATGTCATGCAGTGTTTTCCCTTGTCGCTCTTTCCCTCTATTCGACCCGTAAGTGTCAGATTCTCCATGCTCTCCTTCCTCATTATGTGTCTCAGGAACTTCAGCCCCCTCTTCCTGATGTTAAGTATAAGCCTTCTTCTTGTTTGCAGCTTCTCTAATACCTCATCGTTACTCAGTCCATGATATCCTTAGCATCCTTCTGTAGAACCACATCGTCGCCTCAAGTCTCTTCTTTATCTTTGAAGAAATCGTCCAACATTCATTGCCGTAAAGAAAGACATGTGTCAGGTAACAGAATCAGTATCCGTTACCAAAGAAATCCTCCTGTCTCGCAATACTCTACCCAGCTTATGGAATGCGTCCTTGGCCATCCCAATAGGTCTACGAATTTCAGTGTCGCATTTACCGTCCTCTGTCAGAACGTTTCCTAGATATTTAAAGTTCCGCGTCTGCTTGATTCTAGTGTTCCCGACCTGCAAATTGCATTATGGGTTCTTCCTCTTTCTGATTACCATACATTCTGTTTTCTTTTAGTTTATGCTTACTCCCTTCTTAACACTACGTTAGTTTAAAATCGAAAACTGAAAATGCAACCCAGACCTTATGCACACTTTCGGGTCTGTGTTTTCTTTTCCTTCTTTCTCAGTCGTAAGGTCCACTAGTTTTTTTGAGTAATACTGATTTTATGAATCATCCGCTTTTCTTTTCCTTATTTTGGGGTCGGGTTGATTTGTGTTTCCCAAAGTCTCGAGATATTGGGTCTGCCCGCGTAGTCTAGTTATGGGTCGAATATATACGCTGTTTACCACAAACAAGATTCCATAATTCTCGTCTGTGTCCGTGGTAATTTTTATCTCTTTGCGCCCAAAAACCACGTCGGGAATCAAAGCTGGACTATGGACTCCTTCAATAAAATACACAACACAACTGATAAATGGTTTATTGGATATAAAGAAAAATATTTCGATGTTTCTATTATTTACTGAAAGATTAAGCTCCTCTTTCGCTGGATGTCGATTTGAGAAATTTAGAAGTAATAGTTATAAAATAGTGAAAGGAAGAGTGCCAATCATGCGCGTGTCACGGTGACGGAAATCCGTGTGTGTTCTTGAGAGATGACCGGGTGTCTGGTGGCTTTCCACGTTCAGCCCGATTCTTCGTTTTTCTGTCACGCCAAGTGACCTTCGTCCACATATATTGTCCCCACCCCGATATCCGACGCCGAGACATCTAATTTTCCCACCCCGACTTAATCATAAAAGATCTTGTTAATAACCACATGGCATTCCCTTTGTTCATAATCTTCTGTTCTTTTTGTTTGTAAAGATGATGGTGTTTGGGGGTTAACAGCATCAATATAAACAAATCCCAAGCTTAAGAATTAGACAAGATTCAGATACATTCTGGGTTTAAAAGAATTTTCTTCGTTCTTTTCTGTAAAAATATACGCGTCTTGGACAGATAGTATAATGTAAACAAAACACCAATCGCGGTTAGCCTAGTTATGAAACTGATGCATTTCTTTATTTAGAAGAATTTGGGTCACTCTTTTCTTTAAGAATATACAGATTTTGGGTAGTTAGTATGGAGGTAAAAAAATGAATTTAATTTCTCAGGAGCAAAAGATTCGAAGAACATATTAATCATGTCTTCTTCGTATCGGTGGAGAGTAGATAGCGTAGGAATCCTGGTTTTGCTCAATTTTATAGAATATTGGCGCGGCTCCGATTCTCCTTGGAATTGTTCTTAAAACAATCTCATCGTCTAAAATACAATTCTTAATACGTTTTCATTTCATTTTTCTCAACCATTCACCTTTTTTGTTGAGACGTTCAACAACCATCATCCAACCAGAAGTCGCTTCAAATCACCATCCTGAAATTTCATGCATTTAAACCTTCAAACAAGGTCAGTCCCGAGTCTGAAAAACAAATACCTTGTAAAATACCACCGAGAAAAATACAAATATATGCACTATATATAACCCAGATAATATACTTTAGACAAAGTCAATACTTATTAAAATAAAGATAACCCATAAAAACACAGCGTCCTGGGCAAGACGATAAACTACATCCGACAGCAATGCCTTTGGTTAGGAAGTTTTGAGGAGCATGGAACCTCATCTTAACTGCTGGTGTTCCCAGGTCCACCCTGACCCCAGGTGGTAGCAGCTGTTAGACTTCCAGCTATGGGCAAATAGTTAACCCCTAAACTGGGGTCAAAACACTATGAAAGGGTAAAAATAGGTTTTAATATGAGCCATACATTTTTTGAGGAAAAATTATGACCAGCATACATTTTTGAAAGTAAAATATTGCCAGCAATACATTTTTGAGGAAATAAATATTACCAGCAATACATTTTTGAGGGAAATAAATTACCAGCAATATATTTTTGATTGAAAAATATTACTAGGAATAAAAATCTTGTCGGCATTAAATAACCCATTGAGGTTGACATGCTGTAAAACAAACCAAACCAATAAAATAAAATAAACCAAAAATTTTAATTAAAAACAAGTAAATAATAAACACATTAACAAGATATGAATGAATACTAAGTCATCAATAGTAACTAATGAGTAAAAAAAAAGTTATCAGATAACACAATAAATTAGCTGCCAATAACCGCATTTGGAGCCACAAGTATTTCTACTTAATAAAAGATGGAAGAATTAGGACTATAACCGTTACGACTTTGACGAATTCTTGCGGGGAGCCACGGTGGGGTAATAGATAGCGGCTCGGATTGAGAACTCACACGAGCCGATTTAGAATTTCTGTCAGATCCATTACAGGATCTAATATCTTTGGGGAAGGTATGAATCCTCCTGCTCCCTCCAGCTATGGGTAACATAGCATGACAGATTGGATTCTTTAGCCTTGGGTGGCAACCACTCTGGAGAAAGTAACTCTGAATTCAAAATCTGTATGTAGCCCTGGCGTAGCACATACTATACAGTTAAAGGAAATGATCGCATTGATTCGATGATCCCGTCGAAATTATATATACATTCTCATTGCTGAAAGTAGAGTGCAATATTGTTATAAAACATCGGAAAATTCCAGTAAGATATCTTTAATCAATTCTAAGATACAACGGTTCAAACCTTAATCTAACAATTGGAGAATTTTGCTGTTACACGATTTAGACTATCTTGCTGTTACATCCGGTATATATATATATATATATATATATATATATATATATATATATATATATATATGAAGAAAAATTTGAAAAAAACAAAACAAAAATCCTTAAATGTAGTTAAAATGAATGAAATGTCGACGTCTGACGTTTCGGTTTAATAAACCTTTTCAAGACAATATTCATTAAAATACAATTCAGTTCAATATGACAAATACGATGGACATAAAACACAAGTCTTATTCAAAACAGATAACTGAAAATTTTAAAATGATCAGCCTTCCGTCTAAACATGGTCACGCTGTCGTCACATGGGCGACGCTTTCATAACGTATTCCTAAAAGTTTGTGATTATTTTGAAATGAAAAAGAAAATGAAAAGAATTCTATTAGGTTCTAAAAATTTTTATGTGTATGCTTGTCGAGCATCAATCTCGCTAAAAGGGGGAAATATTAAAGAAACCAGGTCTAGTATTCACCGTGCGTGAGATGGATATTATACCTGCTTCATAAATCCTCCTGAGATTTTTATTATGAAAATATTTTAATACTTTCACGGAATCGAAATCGAAATTATGATCTGCTTTAGTTGTGTGTACAACTAAAGCATTGTTAAAATTACCGAGACGAATATCTCGTTTATGTTCGAAAACACGAAAATTTTCAGTTATCTGTTTTGAATAATTTAATATCGTCTTTATGTTTAAGTTGTGTTATTAAATATCTCACATTGTAATAAAAGAATTTAATAACGAAAGTGATGGGATGGGAGCATGCACAAAAAAAAAAATTCTAACTAAAGCGCCAAGTCTATAGACCCAAAACGTATATTTATAAAAATTTTTTCTAATTCTCAGCGTCTCCTCTCTTTTGTGGAGATATGTAGTCGCCTCAACCTAAACATTACTTCCGTTCGATGAATTCCGATAGGATAAACCGCGCCACACGAAAATTTTATCAACTTTGTCATAGTTTTCCCTGAACTGTTCTTGATATATAAATATATTTGCATTATTTATATTGTTCGGACCTCGTCTCTGTTGTCAGATTCACGACGTTTCGGCCGTTTTACGTTCCAGCCTTATTCAGGATCTGTCTGTATTTCTGAGATGAGGTATTGTAATTATTTACACTATTCCCATTGTTGAGACTGTTGTTTTGATCTCCGTTACTATATTCTCGGTATTTTGTCCATTGTACGTTCCAGCCTTATTCCGGATCTTTCTGATATGTGGCATGGTAATTATTTGCACTATTTAAATTGTTCGGACTGTTATCCTCGTCTCTGTTGTTATATTCACGGCGTTTTGGTCGTTGTATGCTTACGTGAGTGAACTTTCCAACCGAACCGTTTATTTTGTCCACATTGTTCTAGTTTCGTGAAAATATATAGAAAATAGGAAGGAACTGGTTAGGTAAATAATCCAAAGTCCCTTAGTATTTTAGTTATTATTTTTAAAAAATAGTGTTCGATACAAATGTAGAGCATAAATATAATTATTTATTTAAAAATATGATTATCAGAAGAAGTCCCATGTTTCAAAACAAGAGCCGAAAACTTCAATATAATTATTTAAATTAAATTGAGTTAAAATAAGCTCTGTTCCATCTTCAAGCGAAATCTTTTTTGGAATCCCCAAAAAAATTTTTTGGAATCCAAAATTTTTTGGAATCCAAATAATTATATTGAAGTTTTCGGCTCTTGTTTTGAAACATGGGACTTCTTATGTCGCGATTTGGAATCATATTTTTAAATAAATAATTATATATATATATATATATATTATTATTTTCAAACGTTTTCCTCTGTCAAACACTTAACGTTGATCAGAGACCGCCTCGGTCACACTCTGTATACATTTTACATTTAATTTTTAAATGAAACCTTTTTTGAACTAGGTTAAATAGGTTGTTGGTTGGTTGATTTTGTTTAGCAGCATATCAACACCTCTATGGGTTATTGAATGCAGAAATCCAAATATTTTGAACACGGTTTTAACGTTTCAAAGAAATATATATTGTAGTCAATTGGATCCCTTCAATTACAGATAAAATGTATCATTGGTAATTCTGGTGGATTGCTGGATTATTAAACTTTAAAAATCAGTTCATGGTAATTTTACTATAGATATGTATTTTAGGTAATTTTTAATATAAAATATATATATTACTAGTATGTTTACTATAAAAATGTCTTTTTAGACTTTTATGGTGTTTTATTTTTGTTTAAAATTCACGATTTTTCCATAGTTTGGACCCTAACAGGAGCTACCACTCTGGATCAGGGTGGACCACGAAACAGTTATTAGGATATAGTTCAACGTTCCTCAAAATCGCCAATGTCCTGATCAGAGGCATTGCTGCCGGATGTAGTTTATCGTTATACCCAGGAATAAGGCCAGGTAGGGAGCAAATGAATTTCTTCGAGCTTTCGATGTGCCATCCAACAATCCCTTATTGAAAATTGTTGAGTGAAGAGTCAATGTATGACGAAATGCACTCAATCTTTTAAAAGACGCACGATATTTTTAAATAAAACTCGCATTTAAAAAAGAATCACTCACTTTTAATTTTCATCATTCGGCGGCAACTCTTGTTAGCACAGGGTTTAGTTAAAAGCTCTTGCAAAAGGAATAATTGAGATAGCCAAAGATGCATTTCAGAAGCTAAGCAGAATATTAAGAGGCAGAAAAACTTAGAAACAAAGAAAAGATTACTGAACTGTTACGTTATATCTGTCCTCTTATATGTCAGAGAATGTTGGACAATCTTCTTAAAGATGAAGAAGAGCCAAAAGAAATGTGATTCTACAGATGGATACTGAGGATACCATGGACCGAACGTGTGATTTTGGTTTGGTTTGGCTTGTTTTACGGTATATCAAACTCAATGGGTTATTTAATGCCGACAAAATTTGTATTGCTGGTAATATTTTGTTTTGTCAAAAATTTATTTCTCGTAATATTTTTCCTTCAAAAATGTATTGCTGATAATAATTTGTTCAAAAAAGTATCGCTGGTAATATTTTTTCCCCAAAAAAGTATTGCTGATTTTATTTTTTTTCAAAAATGTATTGCTAGTAATATCTATTTTTTAAAAACATTGTTGGGAATTTTTTTTCAAAAATGTATTGCTGGTAATAGTTATTTTTTCATCCAAAATTTATTGCTGGTAATAATTTTTTAAAGTATTTCTGATATTAAACACTGATATTTTTACACTTTCAGTGTTTTTACGTCAGTTTCGGAGTTAACTATTTGCCCATAGCTGGGAACCTAACAGGTGCTACCACCCGAGTCAGGGTGGACCTGGGAACACCAGCAATTAAGAGGTCGTTCGACGCTCCTCAAAGCGTCCTGGTCAGAGTCCATGCTGCTGGACGTAGTTTGTCGTCTTACCCAGGACGCGGATGTAGTTCATCGTTATACCCAGAAGAGTCGAACGTGTGAGTAATGAAGAGGTTTTAGAGAATATGGAAATAAAAGGGAAACTTATACTTAAGATCAGTAAGAGATATGTTGATATTTCTGCGGTACATAATGAGGAAGGAGGGTTTGGAAAATCTGATACTCACAGGACGGAGTGAGGACAAAAGGCGATAATAAGAAAATGCGCAAAGTTTATGAGCTTTAATAAATGGACGACGGAAAAAGGTTTCAGGAGAAATAACGAAAAGACAAAATTTATCAAGTGCTGCAAAGGATAGGAGGATGTGGAGAGCCATCATCACCTACGTCCTGAAGGAATACGGCATAGAAAGAAGAAAGGAAGCAAGAAATTCAAGTCACCGAACAACCAATTAATGCAAGCAATTCTTGGATTCAAAAATGAAAAAAACAAATTCATTATCCACTCCTTGTCTTTTTTATTTATTCTTTCATTTCATTTTTATTTTAAAATTTATTTTAATGGATTTTGTCTGCCTTTTATGATTCGTTAAAATGTCTTAATTCGTTTTACTTTGTGGAGTGAATCATCGTGACGATTTTAACGATTCGTCCATGGCGTTTGAATTGCATTTTGGTTGCGGGGCTGGTCCAGGTGAATTGCTCACAAGATCAGAGCTAGCGTACAGCAGATGCCGTTCTCAACGGTGTGATCCGTCCGGCTCGAGGCGCGAATCTCTCAAAAATTGATTTAGAATCAAACTTAATGTCTTTGGCTATGACGCAGAAATCAAATTACTCACGTTCAACATGGCGGAAGGACATATGATTGACTCATTTCGCTTGTTACTCGGTTTAATGACGTCTGCAAAAATGGTTGAAAAGGTTTCGTTTCTTTCGTCTTTCTTTTCTATTTTCCTTTGATCTCTTCGTGATTGTGTCGCCTAAATCCCGACATTACTCAAATTATTATTTTGATACAATTATGAATTTTCTTTCCTCGGAGATAACGGTCACAGCGCATTGAAACACCGGTTCTCATTCGATCACCGAAGTTAAGCAACGCCGAGACTGGTCATTACTTCGATAGGTGACCTCCTGGGAATACTAGATGTGTGAACTTGGATGTGTGGGTGGTGACTCAAATTTGCTAATTGTTGAGCCGAGTTCCAATTCCATTTGGGTTCATTAAATGGTATGTACCACGTCTTTTCTCCCCAGCTATGGATTAATTAGTAATATCGTCTGTATAAATGGTTGAAAAAGGTTTCGTTTCTTTTTTTCATCTTTTCGTTATTGTATTACTTAAATCACGACATTACTCTTTTTTTTCTTTGATACAATTATGAATTTCCTTTCCTCGGAGCTTACGGTCACATCATATTGAAAGTCCGGTTCTCATTCGATCACCGAAGTTAAGCAACGCCGAGCCTTGTCAGTATCTTTTTTTTAAAGCATTTTACCACTGGTTCACAAGGGGCTATACAGAGTTAAAAAGAGAAAAAACTGTGTTTAGGAGGAATGAGGATCTAGATGGGTGAACGTTTAGAAATGCCTGGCGCTTTGAACTTGGATGTGTCAATGGTGTAATGAATAATGGCTCGCAATTGTTAATAGATATTTTATCGCTTAAATCGCGACATTACTCAAATTATTATTTTGCTAAAATTATGAATTTTCTTTCCGCGGAGCTTACGGTCATATCACGTTGAAACACAGGTCCTCATTCGTTCACCGAAGTCAAGAAACGTCGTACCCATTCAATATCTTTTTTTTTTTTGTCATTTCACCCCAAGAAAGGCGGGAGTACCACTGGTCCACAAGGTTCTACATAGAGTAAAAGAGAGAAGAGTTGTCTTTTGTGGGAATGAGGACCTTGGGTGGGTGATCGTTTAGAATTGCCAGGCGCTGTGAACTTGAATGTATCAGTGGTGTAATCAATAATGGCTCGCAGTTCCAATTCAATTTGGGTTCGCTATGTTCAGTTACTCGTAAATACTCTTCGGAAAGGAATTTACCACGTATTTTCTCCCCGGTTATGGGTTAATTAGTAATGACGTCTGAAAATATTGGTTAAAATGGTTTCGTTTCTTTCTTTTTTTCTCATTGATCTCTTATGAAATTATCATTTTGCTACAATCAGGAATTTTCTTTCCCCGGAGCTTACGGTTATATCACGTTGAAACACAGGCTCCCATTCAATCACCGAAGTTAAGCAAAGTCGAGCCTCGTCAGTACTTTAATGGGTGACCGCTTGGGAATACAATGTGTGTGAACGTGGATGTGAGGGTGGTGTAATGGATAATGACTCGGAATTGTTAATCGGTGAACCGAGTTCTCATTGCATTCGGGCTCCAAGAAAAATTTTTAAAATCATGCCAAATAAGCACGTCAGGACACGAATATCAATATTTTTTTTCTTTTACTAAGATTTAACCAGGGATTCAGTTTTCTATGTATATTTATTGTAAATTGATTCCCCTCGCAAAATGATGCTTTCTACAGTGTGGTCCGAAAGTCTTGTCATCCGCTACCAAACAAGTCATGGGAACACGAGAAGAACAAATAATACATTAATGCAAAGCACATGTAGGGGATTCGGTTTATTCACTTTCATTGAGGCTGTCACGCATCGAGAAGGTCTGTTTGAACACCATCATTTTCGTGGCAAGAAATGATGCGTCGCCATGTCTTTTGTGATATTGTACAAACCGGTGCTTTATTGTTGCTTATTGCAAACGGTGTCCTTCAACCAATGGATATACTGGTAACGTTCATGTAAAACTCTCTTCTTGACAATACCTCACAAACCGTTGTTATATTATATAGGGGTAACAAGATTATATAGGGGTAACAAGATTATATAGGGGTAACAAGATTATATAGGGGTAACAAGACTTGTTTTTTATATCATTGTTGTCGATGTTGCATTTTGTTTCTGGAGATGCGTTTGAGGTAATTATTTACACAGTTTTAATCTAAAGTGAGTCCCGTGCAAATGAAAACCCAAATCAAACGTCAGACATGAGTGTTTCCAATGCTGCAAATGCTTAGTGAATTTCTAACTCCTGAACACACACACACACACATATATATATATATATATATATATATATATATATATATATATATATGTGTGTGTGTGTGTGTGTGTGTGATGGTGCAATTGTTAGAAAAAATAGACCATTTATTTAAATATCTGTATCTCTAAATAGGACGTATAAACATAAAAATGTCTTTATATATATATATATATATATATATATATATATATATATATATATATATATATATATATATATATATATATATATATATATATATATATATATATATATATATATATATATATATATATATATATATATATATATATATATATATATATAGGAGAGTGAGGAGGGGGGGCACCTTGACGTGGTGTAATGGTTAGAAACCTTGTCTTGCTAGATCAATTACGACTGAGTAGTGAGTTCGATCCACACTTGGTGCCCCCATACTTTCTGGCCTTGTGCCACATCTAAGCTGGGTTTAGAAAATCAATATACATAAATATATTTTTTCACAATCCTTTTTTGGCAATGGATTCCTTGGGAACTTATAACTCATTGTTATTTTAAAAGCTCTCCTAGAAACTGCCAAGAATTTTCTCTTTTCATATCTAGGTTTTCTGCTTTCATACACTTCATTTTAATCTGAGTCCGACATACATAAAATGAAACATCTGTTTAACTGGGTTAAATAGGTTGTTAGTTGGTTCAATTTATTTACCAAATATTAATTTAAGACCAAAGCTAAATAAAGCTCTGAAGTCATTGAAAGGGATTTTCTAGACATGTAACCAATCTTTATTGGCACAATCTTGTATATTTCGTACAAAGATGGATTAATATTATTATTATTTAAAAATATTTTGATCTGAATTTCTTTTATAAACCCATGCTGAGATATAATTAATGGCTTAGGGAAGGTGTAGCATTCTACTTAATTAAACAGAAGACAGCGATTAAAAAAAACAAATGGACAAAGCACTTCGCATGATAAGGGTTGTAATTGATACAACTATTTTTAGGATTTTTTGGAGAGAATTTGCTCTAAGAATTTTTTTGATTTGTTGTTGAGTTCATTTCTTTATCAGACCCAAAGCTCCAACCACAACAGGAACCGTTTTAGCTTGAAAGTGACATAGTATTTCATTTCTGGCGATTTCCTGGCTGTGCCAATTACTGTGCAAGTTTTTCACCTGCGACTAAAACTAAATAAAGATCCTAAGGTATTGAATGGTTTCATAGTTCCATGATTTTCAACATTTAAATTGAGTTGGAGGGACCTATATCGAGAAATTCTAACAAAAGAATGTTCGCTAAATAAACCGATGCTACCCCATCAGTAGTTTTAAATAGTTGCCGATTTGAACTGATACACTACCCTCACTAATAATAATAATAATAATAATAATAATAATAATAATAATAATAATAATAAGAAGAAGAAGAAGAAGAATTTTAAAAATATGTTTCTTCAGGAGGTAGCGATAATGGCTGACGTAAACTTATTTCCTTTAAAAATGCATTGATTGTTGTTGGCATGGGTTGTGCAGAGTTTTCTTGTTGCATTCTCTACAGTTTGGAATTCAAAGTTGTTTTTATCAAAGCTAGAGATCCTAGTCTACCCTATTATCTTATCCGTAGCTGGTGGTAGAATAGATACATTAACGCTTTTACCAAATATAATATAATGACACATTCATTCAGGGCGTACTCTTAAGTCTGGAAGAGAAAGGTAGACTGAACAATTCATTCAAAATTATTATTTTGTCTCAGAAGATAAAAGAAAACCCCCAAAAAACGAGGTAGGAGGTTTAAATAAACGGGCAGATTTGAATTATTTGAGGAACATATGGCCGCAATATATCGTTGCTGTTTCTTCATCAAGTCAGTTTTTGAGTGAGTAGATTGTTAGCCTACAGCATAAACTCAACATGGAGATTCAGGTTTTGAATTCAGAGTTGCCCTCGTCCTCCTAGAACAGGTGCAATTCATCTGTCTTGCAATTTATCCATTCCTTTAAGAAGAGGATTCTTATCCTTAATTTTCCAAGGGTAATTAACATGTAAGTGTATGTAATGGATTAGACTCGAATTCGAACTCGGGTCTAGATTCCTCTATGCATTACTCAATTACCGTGTGCTCCATGGATTCCTTTTTTCTTTATCCGCGGATTGAGAAGTCTTGTTACGAATACGAAAAATAGTGGAGTGGTTTCCTGTTGTACAATTTACAATTTTCCATTCAGAATTCACCTTTGCCTAGACACACTGATATCCAAGATTAGAGAACTCGGTGAGCTTTGTTACTTAACCGATAACTAATGAGGTTTGACCGAACTAAACACAAGAAACATGCTAATTATAGTTTATGGCAAATAACAGTCAGACCACTCTCATTAATAATAGTAATAATAGCAATAATAATAATAATAATATCAACAACAACCAACGCCTTTATTCACTGTGCCATGTGTCCTTGTTGGTTAGATCCAGTGACAGGACCCAAAGAGTGTGAGTTCAATACCCGGTTAAGGCAGAGGAGAACTTGAAGAGGGGAATTAACAGAAGATAACTGATAACTGACATCCATTAGACATGGCACGTGGAACTAGAACAGTCTACCCCAGTGAGCAAAATAAAGGGTTATGGTCGACATTCCAACCACTTGAAGAAGACCGGAGCGTACAACGGCCGAAACGTTGTAATAAATATGGCGACAAGGATGACGACAACTGTCCGAATAATGTCAATAGTGTACATAATACCTCATCTCAGAAATATAGACAGATACTAAAATATATACATAAAATTCGAAAGAGAAAATATAAGAGAAAAGAGGGCTTGGAGAATTTAACACTCGTGGAGAAGCATAGGGAAACCTACTAAATGGATTTATGTGAATGGCAGATAAAGAGCGATAATAAAGAATCAAATGCCAGATACACAAAAGAGGACGTTGTGGTGGGCCATTTTTGCATCATATTAAATAGACACGGCACATGAAATAAAAAAAAGACAATATCGAAAACAATGTCGAAAATAGCGCAGTTGTTATATTTTTAATTTATTGTCAAATGAAAATATGAATAAAATTATTTGTGAAGAGACAATTTACAATATTTCTTTTCAATGTTAAAGTACCGAGCTTTAAAAAAAAACAACCCAAAAAACAAAGACATTAATTTAGTTAATTTAATTTGTAACAAAATGAAATTAGATCAAATTAAACGTGAATGACGGTTTTTATTTTCTCCCAATCTTTGAAATGGGAAAGATTTGGTTTCTTTTAATGTGTTTTAGAATTTATCATTTCCCGACTAGCGTCTAGCATTAAACACAAACTTCGTCCAGAAATGGGTAGACAGCTTATCTAACGTCGAGAACATTTGAACAAAATGCATTTCTACAACCGGGACTGCTTCCTGCTTTTTATCTAATCTTGCTAGCAATATTTCTTTTTAACGAGCTTCTTCTGCAGCCTGTGAAACCAGGTCTTGTATTTAGTAAACAAATACGACGGATCCTTTGTACACGTTAACCATTAAAATTATATTGATGCCGCAAATTCTAATTTCAGGGAATTTACAGATACTTGCATTTATAGAGAAAACCTATCGTGTGAGCAAATGTAAGAAATAGGCGAAGTGTGAGAAGAAAGAACTCAGCATAAACGACAAGAAGACAGATTGCATGTTCATCAGTAAGAGGATGAACACGAAATGTGATTTGCAGGTCCGGTACACTAAAATCAAGCAGACGCGGAAGTTTAAATATCTGGGAAGTCTTTTAACAGAGGACGGTAAGTGCGAAAGTGAGGTCCGTAGACGTATTGGGATGGCCAAGGACGAATTCCAAAAGCTAGGCAGAGTATTGCGAGACAGGGGGATATCTTTGTTAACAAAGAAAAGAATACTGAGCTGTTACGTGACATCTGCCCTTCTTTACGACAGAAAATGAAAGATTGTTGTGGAGTGGTTTCACAGAGGAGGCTTGTATTTGTACTAAGTCGGTCCTAAAATAGGTTCGACGTACAAAACGTCAGGAACTTGATATAATAGGTAATGACGCAGAGAAATCTATTTGCGGTCGCTGATACTTTAGTATCCGACTAACGGTCGTCTGACATCGACTGATTGACCAACTCTCTCCGCGACTCCTACTACTCCCACGCCTACTTATTATAGGTGGGAGAGTCTATTAACTATAGAATAGGTGTGTTCC